TAGTTTCATCATCAGATTTGCAGGTGTATATATTGTCAATGAAGTGGCATTAAATGTGAACAAAGATTAGAGAGGAACTAAATAAGCTGGTGGAAAAGTCTAGTGCTTAGAACTGCACATTTTGAGCAGTTTAAAAAAATAAAAAATTTGAAACCTCATAGCATTGCAAGAGCTTCATTAGCAACTAGAAAAGTGATAAAAATAGCTCTGATATTTATAGTGAAGACAGCATTTTAAGTAAAGCTGGAAAGAAGATTTTATCTAGTATTCACATTTTCAGGATGCTCTCTTAAAGAATATTTGCTTTGCTTTCAAGTGGTACATTAGAAAACTGCTGGGAAAAGGAGAATTAAATCAAAAGTTAAGCCATTCCACTGCCAAATCGAAGAGTGAAAGATTTGGATATGTTATTTCTGGACCCAATTTTCCAGGTTTCAAAAGAAAAAGGTGAACAGGTTTTATGGAATCCGACTTTTAATGAGTTTTGATGAGAGAGAAGGAAAAAAAAAATAAAAAAATAAAAGGAAGAAAAGGAAATCCCAAACATTGAGTGGATGGCAGGAATGTGAAGAGTGCATTAAGTGTTACAAAATTTTAGGATCCTTCCAGTATGGCTGTGTAGTTGAATATAATGATGAATGTCATCAGAAGAAAACTATTTTTTAGCTGTCATCCTTACAATACAATAAATAATTTTCTCTAGCTATGCCATCAAGAGTGTGATCTTAGCAATGGTAAATCAGCCATGACGATGTAGCAAAGTTAAGAGCAAACACATTCTTAAGACTGGTACAAAATGTGAATCCTTTAAAATCTCCAACCTAAATTTGTTTATGAAACTGATATTTACAAGATAAAACAGAGCAGTCTATGATTTCCAGTTCATATATTTCTGGCTGGATTTTCACCCCCACCCCTGTATTATTGCAGCTGTTCACACTAAATGAGCAGGGCCCATTTGCCATAAGCACCGATATATCAGCAGTAGGTACAGTGCATTCCAGTTGAATAGGAATCCTGGCAAACAGTCACTTTGAATTGGCTCCACAGCAAACCAGGCCTAAAATTAGCAAAAAGTAATGCTTGTTAAGTGCAAAATTTAACATGTAAAAAGAAATTAACTTTAACAACCAAAGTTTTTGAATAGGTTTAATATTTTTTTTTTCCTTTTTAAAGAACCTTTACAAAAACAGAAACCACCATTGCTTTAATCCATTATATGCAGCATCTGTTATTTCCTAAATGCTGCTAAATTTAAATTTGCATAGAGTTGGATTCCTGATCACAGCTAAACCAAAGAGCTGCAATGAGAAATTCCAGTCATTTACAGGTAAGGAGTTAATCACCGAAAACTAAGGTTGCACTTGTTAATCGTCGATTATACTAAACTGATATGTTTTCATAGAGCCATATATATATATATATATATATATATATATATATATATATATATATATATATAAAAAATAAAAATAAAACTTACCCAAGACAATAATGTTGAACAGGCAGTTACCGCCTACTATAGCCGCCACCGCCGCCGCCGCCACCACCACCACTGCTGCTGCCGCCACCCATTCCATAACCACCTGAAAGTTCCAATAAATCATTAGATTAAGACTGATATAAAGCTTAAGAGTTCTCTAGACTTACCAACACAATTGTATAGATTACAAAAAGACACCTGGATACAAATGGCGTGCATGCACGCACACACACAGTACAAAATAATGGAAACACCTATAAAACTAAATGTCGGTTATTTTTGTGCTTTTTGATTTAATTTTTGTCCCAGTTTACTTTTTTTTCTTTTATGGATATCAGAGGAAATTATTCAAAATTCATTAAAATGGCAGACTTCTCAGACTTTAAATTTTTAGTGCTTGTACCACAGACTAGTTTAACAAAAACATGAATTATTTGGCGTAGCAAGGAATATAAAATAATGACAGCATTTGAGAAAGGAAGAACCTCCTCACTAAAGTAAGATTCTGAAAGAAAATGAAAGCTGCCTGATAGGGACCATCGGGCTCTAACGCAGATTGTTAAACAGCCCCAAAAATTACATCTTGGGAACCCAGTTTCCTCAAAAACTGTAAGGGAGCTGCACAAGTCTGGATTTCACAGGAGGGCTATAGTCAGAAAACCACTCTTTTCACAAAGCATTTTGAGTGAAGTACAAACCTATAGGTTTAAAAAAAAAAAAAAAAAAAAATCCAGACTGTCTTCCAATTGTTAAACATGGGATAGACCCCGTGATGATCTGAGGGCTATATCTTGGATATCTGCTGGCACAATGGTTTCTGTCCATGACAGGATAAAAAGTAAAGTCTATTTAAAATTTTATCAGATCAAAATGATCATGGAACTGTTTCCAGATGGAAACGCAATCTTTCAGGATAATAATGCACCAATTTACCCAGGTAAAATTGTGTATGAGTAGCATGAAGAACATTCTAGTGAAGTAGATCATCTTATCTAGCTATTACAGTCCCCAGATCAACATTGAACATCACCAGTGAAAGATCTCTATAGTGTTTTGGCAGAAGAATGGACAAAAAATTCCCCTGGAAACCATCCAAACTGTAGGAGTCCATTACTGTAGAATTCAAGCTGTAATTACTGGCATGGGTGGTTCTACACTATTAAAGTAAATTTGTTTAGAATTCCCATTATTTTATCCAATTTCTATGTGGATATATCTCCACTGTTAAATTGCTTGTCGCATCCCCACCTCCCAAACACTGAAAAACTATGTAACTTCGAAATTAAAATAGATTATTCAAACAGGATTTACAGTTCATACAGGAAAGCATCAAAGAGGTATATATCTCCCATTCAACCCCCCTTTAAAACTTGGCTATTAGAAATGGAGTTTTTTTTCAGAACTAAAAGAGATTGGAAAAGAAAGCTTACCTCCATAAGGTCCACCTGACCGTTGAGCATAATTTCCACCCCTCATTGCACCAAGGTTACCACCACCACCACCACTGCCACCATATCCTGAACCAAAGTTCTGATTTCCCCAGTTGCCATCTTGTAAATATAAAAATCATAAAGGATAATAGTTAAGGCAGACATATGAATAAAGAAAAAAAAAAATTGCCAAAATCTGGTAAAAAGAAAAGTGTAAGTGACAATGAAACAATACTACCAGACTTGAAGAGTTCAAAGTATTTTTTTTTAAAAAGTGAATTTCAAACAATGTATACATATTGGTATATTGATTTATTCAACCACAAATGCACCATTTGGCTCCACTATCTTTAGCAATTTGAGGCAGATTTAAGATGCCACCCTCCTAAAATTTGGCATCTGAGTGACGAATTGGTCAATGTTGATTTTTAGAAGCTTCCAGAGAATTAAATTCTTCCCTCAAGACAATTTTACAAGGGTTCAAAATCAGTTGAGCATGGTTGGTATAGGAGGACAGACAACCATTTTCCTTGATTGGATTCATCATTTATACAAGATATTAGTTGATTTTAAGTGGCATGTATGGTGGACAAGGTTGTGCTTTTTAGACAACGACAAAAAAAAAAAAAAAAAAAAAAAAAAAAGTAAGTAAGTCACATAGGAGGCAAGCCCAGAGTAAAGAAAGGAGCTACTGTAGCCAGGCATTAACAAAAACAGAAGTACAATATCTTATATTTCACATTAAGTGGTTTTATATCCAGGATGATGCAAAGTACTGCAATGTTTGACTGCAGTATGCCTACTGGTACTGCTCAGATTGTAAGGTGTGTGTGTGTGTAGGGGAGAGTAAGAAATAGCGTGGACGTGCCAAGGCTTCCCATATGAGCTATATTTTTTTTTTTGTACATATGTAAGTTTCACACAAGGATATATTAACATCTCTGGTCATATGCAACCCAATTAAAGACATGCATTATGAAAGCATACATTGCTGAACCATATATCATTTAATGATACAAGTAAAATGTTCTGCAAAACTAATAGCTGAATTCAACCTGGAATAGTGGTTCAGGTTAATGAACCAGTTATTGCCGTAATTTGTGGGTAGATAGAATGTCTACAATACTAGGGAAAAGAACAGAAAACAGTCTCAGTGCCAAAATCCACAATGTCAATTCCGCTTTGGTGTAAGACTAAACCAAGTTTTCAAACTTCACCTTTTTCAAAAACGTTGAGCTTTTGTTCCAACTAATGTGGTTACACAATCAAGAATGATAAAGTTCAAACAAGTTTATTTTATTAGCTATATTATATGTATTACTGGTTATTTTACATAAGTATGTCCACTGTTTTCGCAGAAAAACAGTATAGCGTAAATGAAAAATGCCACAAACTTAAAGAAAATAAAGTATTATCGTCAAAATGCTTATGTTATTAAGATGAAAGAAAAAAGTATTTTTTAATTATTTTTTGAAATTTTTTTAATATTTTCTAACACGTTCAATATTTTGGTTAAAGTCGTCTTTGTTTATGTCATCGCGGTGACGTTTAAAATAAGTTTTTTTTTTGCGTTTTTTTACCGTTGAAAACATTGATTTGGAAATTCTTGTAAAATAAAATAATTGTCCAATCTTAATGAAATTTTCAGGGCTTATTCACAAATGAATGAAATTATTTTTGAAATATTTTGTTCTTAGAAAATTTTGGTAAAAAAAATTTTTTTTTTTTAAATATGTTAGTTAATTTCATGAAATTTCGCCCAAAACCTTTTTGGCTCCTCAATTTTATTTTTTTGTTAAAAGGAGGAGTCTTTGGAGATGGTAAATAACCTACTTTTCTTTTACAAATTTGAGCTACTTAACTGAAAATCTTGTCTGAATTGAAAAATAATGAATCCAATAAAACTATGATATTACTTAATTAGAAAAGCTTTTAATTGCTTTTGTAAATATTAAGGACATTGTCTGAAGAAATAATTTTTTTCTGATGAATAATTAATTTTTACAAGAATTTTTTCGTTTAAGAAATTTTAATTATAATAATTTATAATAGTTTAACATCGTGTAAAGCTCTGTATTAGGAGGCTCCTCAATATTATGTAGTAATTAAGTAGAAAAAAAATTTACGAGTCCAAAATTGCCAAGTTTAATAAATTTAGTTAATACTTTTTTTTAAAATAATTTTTATGTTGTATTTTTTTTTACTTAATACATTCCTTATTTCCATGTATGATATACAGAAATTGACATTATTATAACAAGGTCAAATCTAAGGGTTTTGTCTCTTTCAGAAAATTTTTCAAAACATTCGTTTAACAGATTGTATTTTCCGTTCAGCTGTAAAAGTGTAAACTTTAAATTATTTTTTTTTTTCATTTAGTATTTCACTAAATTTTATTTTATGTATTGTATTTCCATTAGTGTGTGTCATATTCAAATAGAATAATTTTTTTTTTAAAACTCAGACTTAAAAATTATGTCATTTATGGTCATCAGTAGTAGCTGTCATCGGCTCGTCAATCAACCATCATCAATAAGATCGAACAGATGAACGGGACAGCTCGTTAATAATTGGTTGTATATTATTTTATGCTATAAGTAACAAAGATTTCTTTGAAATCAGATTACTTTAAATTTTTTAATTTTACTAAAATAATGTGTCAGAATTTTTTTTAAATATTAAAAAGAAATAAAAAAAAAAAAAATTTGTTTACAAATTTCTTAAAATTAAGAAAATGGCCGTTTTTAAGAAAATTTAAAATTAAATTTGACAATAAAATGTATATAGTTTCTATCTGAAATACACCAGAATTGTTTAATTAATAGAAATCGTAAATTTAATTATTAAACTTTCAATTAAAGCTAAAAATGAAGTCTTCAAGAATGTTTTTCGTTGTAAAAAATTCATTTTAAACTTCAATATAGAAAATTTATGCCGAAATAGTGGACATAATTTTACAACTTAAAGAAATTACTAAGCACATGATGTAAAGTGCTGAGTAACAATTAGATAACTTTAAATCCAATATATAAAAAGAAAAAAAGTACAATATATTACTCAGTCATCTCACATTTAGACCCCAGAAGAGTTTCATTCATGCACTGATGGACTGAAAAATCAGTTTCAGTAATGCATAAGCAAGAATTGAGTTAAAAGTGCATTTACACCTAACTGAAATATGCCTAATATTTAGTTAAATTAATGCAAAGTTAATATGAAACCATGGATTAAGCTAAGAATGGTTCCCATAAATTAAAAGTAGCCACAAGATCATTACATCAACCAATATCTATTGATGGAATAAGATTAAGATGGGCAATGAAGTAAAAAAAAAAAAAAAAAAAAAAAAAAAAAAAAAAAAAAAAAAAAATTAAAAAAAAAATAATGAAAGGATTAAATCAAAACTTTCAAATCCAGGAGCAATTGGTTAATAAAAAAACCAATACATTAATTCTGGAAATTGAAGGAGTAATGAGGTTTATTAAATGATCCATAAAAATCATGAATCATTCACATTTTGTTAAGCCTTGTTTAGTTTGGAATTAAGCTCACGCTTTCGCAGTAGTTAAAAATACTGTGAACGAACCGTATGCATATTCTGTTGGCGAAAGCTTGTCATGATGTGGGGAGTCAGCTGTGGTCTCCCCAGCAGGGGCATTTTCTGAAATTCAAATGAAATGCAAAAGAACTTTAACTGAACAATTTGGCAGATTATGGTTATCATAAACATTGAATTCGTCAATAGATCAGAGTGGTGGTTCCAAATACATCAAAAACTTACGAAACAGGAGAGCAAAGAAAGACTTTGCTTAGGTATGTTTTTGTTTGAAGACAGCGAGGGGTGAGGTGGGAGTGAAGAGGTTTACAATTTTTCACATAAAACTTGCAAAGCAGAATAAAAATTTGCTCTGCTCACTATTTAGCATGAAGAGACTGCCATGTCCTTAAAGTTATTTGCAGTTAGCATTTTCTAAGAAAAAGCAAGTGTTTGAAATTAAATGTGGCAGGTAAATTTCAATGTTTAGTTAAGTTATTGGTCGGAGTAAATCAAATGTGGCCACACTAAGTGGAAATCTAGCATTGTTATCTTTTACACATTGAAGTTAACACTTAAGACCTTTATGACTCCGCAGCTTTTACATTTGAGACTACAAACAAAAAACAAAAAACTCACCATTGCCACCATAATCACCACCACCTCCAAAGTTGTTGCCCTGGTTGTAACCACTAAAATTGCCTCTCTGGTTGAAGTTACCACCTCCATAACCTCCACTGCCACCACCACCATAGCCCTGATTCCAGCCTCCTTGGTTACCTTGGTTCCAATTACCACCTTGGTTGCCACCATAACCTGTAACAATTATTCAGTTTTGAGAATTATGAAACTAGCTAATCAAAAAGGAGTAAAATTTGAAAATTTTCAACAGTAGAGAAAGTTTGACACTATCAAAACATTCAAAACCCCAAGTCAGACAAACAATATCAGTTAAGCAAAATTAGAAACTGAATGTTGTTTTTAATTTTTAAAACTCAAAATAAGTACCTGAATTTCCCCAGCTGCCACCACCTCCCATGTTCCAGTTTCCACCACCTGAAACGGGACATTATCAATTCATGAAAAATATATTTAAGCTGCAAGTTTGTACAAGAAAAACGAACAAGAACAAAAACACTTACCTCCAAAGTCATCAAAATTATTCCGAGAGCGACCAAAATCACCTGAAAAAGGTTATCAGTAACCTATTACTAACCCTGAAAAAGTTGAATTTGAAATTAAATTCTATAATGCTATATAAAGTAGGTACCTCCAGATTTGTGATAGGTAAAGTTTAAAAGGCTATAAAAAATGAACAATGTTTGGAAGATTACTTTTAATCTCAAGCCAATAGATTAAATTTCATATTCCCAATATGCAAAATACTTTGCTGTATTTCAAAATTAATTTGAATTGATTGTAAGGGGTTTTTGTTTAGAAAATAGCATCACTTCAATGTAGTTCTCTTTATATAAAAACTCCAAAATGAATTACTTTTCTGAAACTGAGAAATATTAGATTTAAAGTATAATTAATCTGTTTTGAAACAAATTTACTTTAAGCTTAAGTCACAGAAAGGCATTAAAAAAAAAAAAAAAAAAAAGTTTTGTCTTTCCTCTAAATAAAGATTTAGGCAATAAAATCTTAAATAGAGTTTGGGTCATTTTTTCAGCAATACTGCAGAGGTACCAACTGAGTAAACTGTGTGTGTGTGTGTGTATATATATATATATATATATATATATATATATAACTCAAAGTTAAAGAGAAAGGGAGAGAAGAAAAACAAAAAACACCTCTTACCTCTGCTCATGCCACCTCGTCCTTTTGAAAAGAAAGTTTTAGAGCATGTTAGATTTTATGCAAGACAAACACACATATATATATATATATAAATAATGGATTAAGTTGGACAATTATTTAAGATATTTTCTGTTTATTTTTATAGATGCAATTTTTAATTGAACAATATTAATTACAATAACCAGCTCTGACAGGAATTGAACCTGTATTTCTACAGGGAAAGTGTCATTTGACCTTTCAGGCTGCAATAATCATTTTCTTGAAAAATCATTTCTGCCCACAAAATATATCTTAACATAAGCAATTTTTTTATAGGTACAATTTATTTAATTGTTTAATTAAAAACAGAGTACACACACATACAACAAATGAGGGGATCAGTGTGCAAAATAACCCACCCAGTGCTGGGCTAACATTCCCGTTGACGCATACAGACATCACTGGAGGGTTTGTACATATAATACACCACATATCTTCAAGAACACTTCTGTTAAAGTTAAATTCTAAAAATGAACTTTAAAAATAACAATTAAAAAGGAAAAGAAGGGAGGGGCAAACAAAAATATCTGATATGATGCTCTTAGGATCAGAGATAAGCAGACTAAAATTATGGATTGAATATATGGACTGTCAAGGATTACTCAGACATTCCAAAATTAATAAATATTGTGCTTGAACTTTTGCAGTAAACAATTATACACTGTTCAATTAATAATGTTAAACTATTTTAAATTCTAAAATTTTACATGGATTAAATGAAAAATTACTTACAATTAGAATTATAATATATAGCTGCCAGAATTTTGGGAAGATGCAATCTTAAGTTGAAGGAAAAATGAAAGGTTGTGCAACAAAATGGTTCATAATTTTTTTTCCTTACCTGCTCTCTCTATTTCATTCTTTGACACAGCTTTCTTTACTTCAACATATTTCCCTTTCAGTTGAATTCTTCTCCTTACTATAATAAAGGAAAAGTCACAATGACTGCAAGATTCATTTGGTATGATAAAATGACAATGTACAGTAAACACCAATGATTTATGCTGTTACAACATTTAATCTCACGATTAAGTTTATAAGTTTTATACTTACACACACATTTGTCAACAGCATCATAGTCATCATAAGTGACAAAACAGAAACCTCTCTGTTTGCCTGTGTTTTTATCTTTAATCATTTCAACTTTATCAATGGTACCAAATGTTTCAAATTTGGTTTTGATTTCCTCCTCAGTGGTTCCATCTTTTAAACCACCAACAAACATTTTTTTCACAGTTGCTTGAGTTTCATCAGATTCCTATAAAACAAAATGCATTGGTGCTTTTTAAAACGAAAAATGCCAAATATTTCAGCTTAACTGATTAATTGCCAATCAATTTAAGACCATGAAAATTCAAGGAAATGCAGAAAACTTTACAGTAAATATGAAAGTGCATTATTTTTATAATAGAAATTCTCACATTTCTAGGAATAGCTCTCTTTGTATCCACCTCTCTGCCATCCAGTTTGTGAGGACGGTTTTTCTGAGCATCATCCAACATCTCCTCTGTTTTGTAAGTGACAAAGCCAAAACCTCTAGATCTACAAAGAAAAAGACTTCCAAAAATAAAGTATTTACCTTAGATTTAAAATAAATGTATTTTTAAAAACAGTAGCTGTATTTTTGACTGAGCCTGTCTGAGAAGAAAAAAAAAAAAAAAAAAAAGCACCTTATAATCCACCCACACCACTTCTTTAAAAGCGAGGTAGTTTGAAGTTAAAAAGCTATAAGATTCCCAGGCAAAAAGAATATATATATATATATATATATATATATATATATATATATATAGAGTAACCGGATATATGAGTTGTCGGGACAGGAGAAGAAGTCTCTTATATCCGGGTTTGGTCTATTTTGTATACATTAACACAGGCTCTAATTTGGGACCAGAGAAAATCTCTTATATCCGGGTTTCACTGTAAATGCTAATGACCAATTCATTCAATAGTCCAAAGAAAGTAGTAAAAAGCAAGTGTGAGTGAACATCAGGTTAAGTAACAAATTTTTTAAGTGAGTTTTAAATAATTTAATGAGAATTATAAAATGTAACAAACCTTTTAGTGACTGGATCTCTCATAACTACACAGTCCACTATTTCACCCCATTGCTCAAAATGACCCCGGAGTCCTTCTTCAGTGGTTGTGTAATTCAAGCCACCAATGAAAAGTTTGCAATACTTTTCTTCCTCTCCATCACGGTATCCCTGCATTACAAGAAAAAGCTCATGCACAACTGAACAAATTTTACCTTTTCTTGTTAAAGTTTTTATTTATTTTAGATTATGTCTGGCCTCTCAAAAAACACTTTCTGATTGAATTTCAATAGAGTCAAACTTCAACTTTCCTTTATTTTTTATAAATTTTTAATTTCTTTGAAGAGATGCATTAGCTTTCCCCTTAAGAGTGAGGAGCCCTACTTAAAATATTAATTAACAACAAACGCACTGAACAATTATACAAGTCTCTTTTAGCAAGCATTAGAAATATTGTAGCCTCGAGTAGGATTATAGTTTTTCAACCATACTGCATTATCAGGAGTTCACTAGACCAGAAAGGAAGCCTAAATGTTACCAACATAAGTTTAAGATGATTCATTCACAACATGAAAAAGTGTTTTCCTTTAAGATATGTGTAACAAGTTAGGCTGGATATTTTCGGAGATAGGAAAATCCACCCATACATGACAGTCGTGCTAATGTTGCAGATAATTTTTAGGTTTTTAAATTATACATACACACAGTTTATACGTTATTTTTATAGAGGCAAATATTTTAATAAATGCTGTTTATAATAAACAGTATCAACATTTATTTTCCGGCTTGAATGTTTGAGAAGTCTCATAGAAAATGTGTCCTCCAGCAGGAATCAAACCTGTATCCTATACGGAGCCATCATATAACGCGTATGTGTACTTTTGGTGCTGAATTTGTTTTACAGTCATTTTTCCCATAAGTAACATTCAAATTATTTGTCATCAGTACTGGTTTTGATGCGTAAGCCCCACCCCCTCATTGGTTCCAGTAGCCAAGTTATATAAATTGGAATCAAATCTTAATGACGCCCGACTAAGCTCAAATGAGTATCTTTCTACGAAATATTTCTCAACCAGTTGTATTTTGGAAAGATTCGAAAAATGAATTTAAAAATAATTGCCATTGTTTATTTAACATGATACTGTCAAAATATTCCATGAAGACGATTCAAAGACCTTTTTGCTTCTAATCCCTCAAATGAATTTATCCCCACCCCTGACTAACAATTTATGGTTTATAACAGTAAGTGAATAGTCTGGTTTAGGAGTAGGCTTACATTTTCAGGCGTCAATTTGTAAATTGAAACCCTACTTAAAAACCGATCAATAAATAGGAAAGGAACTTGATTATCAGAAAAAGCATTTTTGGAAAAAAAAAAAATTATAGAGAATTCATTTTAATTAAACGAATCTTTAAAAGTGAAAAATCTCAAAAAATGACTAGGTTACCTAAATTTTGAGATTAAAGAATGACAGGGTTGTTTCCCTTGGTCCGATTTTTTCGGACGAAAGTGATTTATATAAAATTAAAAAATAACATACCTGCTCTTGATCAAACTGTAAAAAAAAAAAAAAGTTTTCATAATTGAATCAAGTGTTAAAAATTAGCTTTAATAAAACTAAAATTATACAGATATATTTACTTCGCCTTTTAATTATATACCTACCTTTATATAAAATTTCAGCCCTAAAAATGAAAATCTATTTTAACTAATAAATAGTAGTAAAAGCATGCTGACATAGAATTGGATTTTCATTAGTACATTAACTTAAAACTATTCAAATGTAATATATAAAAAAAAAAAAAAAGAAAGAAAGAAAGAAAAGAGATCAATACTTTAAGTGAAATAATCCTCCAGCTTTGATGCGATCACGAGTTTTTAACCCAACCACTGAAATACAATCTGGTGACAAATTAGACAGCTAAAATAACATGCATTAATTTTAAAATTAAGCCGTTATAACTATTATTTCTGCTGTAATTGAAGACCTTTTGACTTCAGAGCAACGAAAAACCTTCGTACAGTTTATGCTTCAAACATCTTGATTCAAACCATCGACACTTAAAAAGCGAAATTAAAAAAAAAAAAAAAAAAAATAAAAAGAAAGAAAACAAAACTTTAAAATGAAATGAGCTGTTCCAAAACAAACAACTGAATAGATTTGTTTACCTTTTAGCATCGATACATTCATGGTTGATCACCTTGGTTTCGATAGTTTGAGGAAACCGTTTGCAAACAAATTAACTTTGGTTCGTTTGGTAAACATTATTGATACAGTGTCTTCAAATATTGTCTACAAAATGCAAATTACTTGAAATGAAATCCTTTTCAAGGTGGGCATTCGTATTTTTCCTTTACTTTAAACGAAAAGGAAGCAAGATTGGAAAAATCGCAATAAGAAAAAAAATTCTTGCGTCTATTAATTTAAAAATTATGAAAACGCTTGTTAATTTCCTCGTTCATTTTATTAATATTGCTAAATCATGAGGCGACAATATTTATTGTGCAATTAAACCACAATGCACAAAACAAAAATGTTAGTTAAGACTAGTTTTTAAAGCATTCATTAACCCCCAATGCAACAAGTATTGAATTAATGTATTTTCTTGGCGAATCACCACCATGAAAAACTGTTTCAAAGTTACGGAGAAACTATGTCCAGTATATTTGTTGATTGCCAGGATAACCCCCAAAAAGACTTAAATTATATAAATAGATCAGGTCATAGCCTAATAAAAAAAAAAAAAAAAAAAAAAACTTGTGAATATATAAAATGTTCAAATTTACCAACAATAAATGCTAAAATTTACAGTCTACCAAACTACAAATTATTCAGGTTCGTTAAATTATCGTAAAAATAAGTTACAACTATCCGTAATTTTAATGACGAAAAAAAAAAAAAAAAAAAAAAACATTGTACATTTTATCTTAAAATACAGCTAAATAAATACAAATCGAAGTTTGATTCAATCAAAGTTTAAACGAAAGGGGGGAGAGAAGGAAAAAAAAGTTTTACAAGTCCGGACTTGATTATGATGAGAGAAGGTTTAAAAAAAAAAAAAAAAAAAATATCCAGGATTTTCTTTTAAGAGGAGAGGAAAAAAAAAAAAAAAAAAAAAAAAAAAAAAAAGGTGGGGCCGATAATCTTATTTACAGAAGTGATCCAACTATTTGTATAGTTTAAAATAATTAAAATACATATTAAGACATCTTTAAGTTCAAAATTTAAAAGATAAGTGTTCACTTGTTGAAAATGGTGCTCAGCCATGTAGCAAAGAAATGGCACCTTCACAACCATTTTTAAAACAAGTCATTGTGAATGAATAATCCTAAAATTAGAAACAAATATCCCTAGTTTTTATACTAGAAAAAATAGTTAATAATTTAGCATTAAAATAATATACTGGATGGAAATAATTTTTAATTTTAAATAACTTACCGACGAGCAGCTATTGTAAATGATATATGCAATACGTAACTCATTACTTTACGACTGCACATTTTCACAAGACAGAAATATTGTTTTATAAGGATAAAATTATTTTTCAAAAAGTAATTTTTTTTGCTGACCTCAAGATCAATATATGTTTATTTTAAAAAAAAATGTAATTAATATGGACGTCTTTTCACCATAAAAAGACATGAACAGTCCTTCCTTCCCAAAGAAATACGTAGATAAAAATAAAAAAATATGCTAGATTTTGCAGTTCTATCAGGTTATATTGATATAGGGTTTTTATAAAAGAAACAAAGTTAAAAAAAAAAAAAAAAAAAAAAAGATACAATATATTTAAACAATCATAGGGGAGTTTTTTTTTTTTTTTTTAAATACGAAGGCAACATTCGATGACTTTTTCTCGAGCAAAGCCAATGGCTACTTCAATTACTACGTTACCGCTGATGTTTGTCCCTTTTCCTTCCAAGTAAAAGCAACGTAATACAAAACATTACAAATTAAAGTCTAAAATACACACACACATTTTTTGTGTGTGTGTGTGTGTTTTAAACCTGTTAGTGTTAAGCTAGCTAGATATCGATAAAACAAGCAGATCAGGTAATAGGCGGATAGGAGGTTTATTAAATGTTAAAAGTTACTATGTCATTGAGCAATTAAAAATGGTTAATAATAGTCTATAAGAAATTTCGTCCGATATAAGAAGGGGTAAATAATTTGTTGGCTGGGACGGCGAAGACAACGAAGTCCGGCATGGAGAGGAAGAAAAAAAAAGGGAGCGTCTTTTCACCGTTAAGTATAAGCCATTTTTTTTTTTTTTAATAAAAACAAGAAAAAAAAAAGTGATTAGTCCGACATTTTCGATTTTCAGTATTTTAGATATTTGTGTATATGATAGTAAGGGGGGGAATGTATAAAGTTAACTTTTTAGCACGAGTCACCTATAACGAAGCATAGGTGTGATCATTTTTTTTTAAAGCATTTAGTTAAAATACTGAACAAATATAGTCCTTTTTTTGTCGCCTCTTACGAACCTGTGGACAATACAGGATGTATTCTAGACTGCCCGCATCCCCACGGGCAAGCAAGAAGAGTAAATATAATATAGTAGTAATAATGTTAAGTCAAAGAAGAAGAATAGTGGAAACAGAAGTGACAATAATGATAATTACTAACAAAACATAACAAAATGCATAAATAACTTTCCTACCTCGGGCATTTTTGAATATAAATGTGTGAGTCTACCGATAAATCTAAGTTCGCTAACAATTTTTCTCTCCCACACTCACTCTTTCTGTCTCTGTCCTTTGCTCTACACTGACTGAGTGTCTCTACGTCTGCACGTGGTCAGAACGGGAAGACGATATTTGTCCAATCAGCGATGACGTGGCAGCCAGCAGCAGTAGCCGCACGTACACACACATACATAGAGAGGGGCAAAAATGGAATTGATACGTAGATCTTGATCGACGGAGAAAGGGAATAGAGAGAAATGCACACGTGTTGATATATATATATGGAGAGAAAAAGAGAGGCATGCATTGACGAGGAGAGAGTGAAAATAGATAGAAATGTTTATGATGTTTTTTTATTTGTCTCTTCACGACAGCAGAGAGAGAGAAATGTATGTTGATAAGAAGAGCAAGAGAGTGAATAGAGAGAAATAAATATATTTTGATATGTGACATCGAACCGATAGTACGCATTTAAAGGAAGGAAATAGTTTTTTACAATGAAAGAGAAAAACATATCTAGGAATAATGAACGAAGAAGTTCGTAAATGGGAAGGGAAAGAAAAACTTAAAAAGGGATATATTGCCAGAGAGGGTGAAAAAGATGGACGTATAAGAGAGTGAAAGCATCTTGGTCCTTTTTCACTCAAAAAAGGAATGAGGGCAAAATGGATATATGTTGAAAGAAAAGATGCTCAATAAGAAAATAAAACTATATACATATTGAGAGAGTAGGGAACAGGGAGAGGCGTATGTAAACAGACAGCGAGTGGTAAGAAAGTGTGATAGATATAATAACAATAAAAGAGAGGGGGAGGTGAACGTACATATGTGTATATGAACTGAAAAAGGGAGAAGGAAGAAAAAAAAAGAAAGAAACACACGCATTGGAACAGAGAAAGAGAGATGAGTGTGTGTGTACAATCGATAGACACTTGGCCACACACACAAAGATAAACTTCGTATAGAGTATTGAGAGAGATGCGAGACAATTTAGGGAGTGTTACGCAGTACATAAAGAAAAATATGTGCAGTACACTATACAGAAATATATGCACATATATACACTTTATAACTCAAACTGTTTGAATCAAACACGTCGTAAGGTCAATAATAAAAGTATTTGTAATCGAGGCTTTTTAAAGTTTACATCTCAACTTACGAGTTAGTCTACTTGTTGCTTTTTAAAATGAAATTAAAATATTTTATTAATTTTGTTTAAGTTATAACTTTTCTTAGAAAAGACAAGAAAACATACTTTCTCCTCGAACCTTATTACCTTGTCTACCCCCTATACAAATTTGGCGCAACATGGTCTTATCTACCTAAAAAGCCTACTTCTTCATTTACGTGTTATGGTGGTCGATATCTCCGATTTCGTGAATCTGTGTAGTGTGTGGGTGTAAGTTTACTTTTATACGCAAATAGTTGCAAATGTGTGTTACGCACACGTGTTTTTGCGTCCCTGTTTTGAAATTACTTAAAAAAAATGTATGTTTTTCTGAGCATTATTTAAAAATACATAATGTGGTTATTAGTCAATTAATGCTTAAATATTAACTTAAGTGTGCTTTAATTTGTTTGGGCACCTGCTGTAGTGCAGTCGTTACCAACCATACCATTTCGCTAGTTTTGTGAGCTCGATCTTTACTATGTTCCCGGCTAGTGTGGCCTTGTACCAGACTAAAAGCTAAGTTTAATTAATAGTACCTTACTTCGTGGGTGAAATAGTTGGTATGGTCATTAGAGATCGTATAAAAAATAATGTTTAATGAAAGCTGATTTTCATAGCAGATTGGTCTTCCTTCCTTACTTGGAAGATTAGCAGAACATAATCTTCCTGAGCCCAATTTGGCCGAGACTTGTCTGCATCAGTGTGTGTGAGGCAAAGGTGGCGGGGAGGCATCCCTATCGTGGTGCATGACGGGAGGCGTGGCGTCGCACCAAGCGGACATTTTGAATGTTGAAATGCGATGCTAAGTAAAAGCTAATAAAGACGAAATAAAAATTCGTCGCCATTGTCCTGCAGACAGACACACACATACATATATATAAATAGATAGGACAGAGACTAACAGCTAACATTGCATTAAACTTTTTTTTTGCCACCTAGCAATATTTGTGTCAACTAATAATCGTTATCTTCATGTTTTGTTTTTTAAATTAATTTTTTTTTAAACTTTATTTTTTTACTTGCTGACAATTGAATAACAGGAAGTAAATGGCTTCAAACTTATTTTTGAAACTCACATAAAAAAGCTTGTTTTATCAGCCATAAAAAACTTGTTTTTTCAGCCATTAAAAAAAACCATAACTTTTTAAAATAAATCAAATAAAGTTAATTTATTTCATTTATTTAATTTATGGTATTTTTTTAAATCATTGTTCACGTTCTTGAATAGTTTAAAAGTTTATTTTAATTTAAATTAAAATTTTTGATTCATTTATTTTAAAAAATTGTTAGCTGTCATAAAACTTGTTGCATACTCTGTGTAAAAAATAATTTCATCAATTTTAACTTTTGTACTCTAAGTAAAAAAAGGAAAAATTAAAATACACATTTATTTTTGACTTGCGCAAAAAAATTGTTTTTAAATGAAAGTATTTTTTTATCAAAACTTTTTTATTACTTTTTTCTTCAAATTATTATTCTTTTAAAAATATCATACCGTAAGTAACAACAATTGTTCCAAGTCTTCAAACTAAAACGGGTGAAACATAAGAAAATAATTGATAATTATTCCCAATTTTAACCATAAATAGGAATTATTTAAATTTATTTTTCTATTACCTTGTGTCTTGTCATTTTTTTTGTTTAAAGCACGAAGAAATATATTTATCAAAATCTCTAAATTGCACTAATTCGAACGAATTTTCATTTAAGGGAAGTCTGATAAGTACAAAAGGAAAACAAATGAAATAAACTTTTTATTCGTGCTAAAATGTAAAAAAATGTGTGCACACACACACAAAAAAACTAACAAAAAAGTTGGCATCTGGTACAAAAAACTAAAAATTCGTTGTGATATATTTTTCAAACAGTTGAAAATGAAAAGTTGGCTATCTTTGCAACAAATATTCAAGAATATTTTAATATTTTATGAATACTAATAAATAATAATTTCAATAATCCCAAATCTCCAAATGCAATTTTTTACTTCCTATTTTTGTTTGAGGAAGAGTCACTTGAGTTGACTTATTGAAAGTAAAGTTATAAATGGATCTTTTTTTTTTCTGGAATTTTGCACTTTCACTTCATTTTAAATACTAGGGCATAAAAGCTTGAAATAGATGTTTAAACTGGACTGATTTAATGTAAATAATTAAAAATAAAATTCATATGAACATGTCCATCACAATTTCCTTGTAGAACGAAAAAAAAATCTGAAAACCTTGATCATATGACTCAGACTGCACGTTCAGTTCACACATCAAATGTTTAGTTTAAAAACACTGTTAGAAAAAAAACTACCAGTATTAACTTACTTTTTTAACAACAGATGAAATAACATTAAAGTAGGAAAAACTCAAAAATTTATGTGGCAATGTTTTTTTTTGCTTGACTGAAAGAAAGTTAATCTTATTGACAATTTTTAAATATATAAATAAACTTAGAATCAGAAAAATTAAATAAAAATAAACGAATAAAACTTAAAAGTCATAGTACTCTTTTATGTCCCAAGTTCATTTAGGACATGCATGATCATGGCTCGCCACAACTTCTGGTCCTTTGTTTCTCTAAGTAATTTTTAAGTTTATCATCTCTGTTAGATTGCCTCATTTGTCTGGAAAAACCTTTTGCTAATGACTGTTAGATGGCATTGCAAAAGCAGTATATAGGAAAAGAGCAATAAAGTCACTTTTTTTTTCTTTTCCCTGCAAAATAACTTAGAGATAAAATGTTAGTTGTTCTATTCTGGAAGACACTTTGATCTCCAGTGAACCTCATGTCACACAGAAAAGCACACAGCATACCATGCTTTAAGCTTACTTGATTACATACATACATAACAATTCTATATTGCTGTCACATCTGGTCTGGTACTTCTGCTATGTACTTAGAGATTTTTGACAGAATCCCCAAAAGAATCTGAAATGTTATCAGTCCTGACCCGTCATCTCAACTTCAGACACTTCCCTACTACCATATTGTAGCTTCCTTGTGCCTTCTCTGTAAATATTTTCATGGTAACTGTTCTAATGAGTTTGCATCGGCACACCCCTCCTTCTGTCAGTGGTTGCCTTAAATCTTTTCTCTGTGTCTTTTCTTCATTGTCATTGCTGCTCTTTGAGCAACAACACAACGCTTTCAACGTTAAGGCATGTGGCCGTTTTGAATGGACACCCATTCAAAGTGGTTTGATGGTTGGCATTTGCTGCTATTCAAAGGTCACGTGACTTAGTGTATCCCCACCAAGAAGTATCCATGTACAGACAGATGATCTGTGGGCATCGAGTTCAGGCATTTCCTGTCTCTCTCTTCTCCCTACAGCTCAAACACCTAGACTTCAGTAATAGACCTTTTATAGTCAACTTCTTTGCCTGAAGCTACCTACACCATCCTTGACTTGATCCTAGCCCAACCTTTCAACTTTCCAACATAATACAAGATTCTCTTCCAAAAAAAGAAATGCAGCAAGCATTTGTCAAAAACTCTTCCAGAATCTCCACTTGTCAACTATGGTGACAGCGAAAGTCCAAGTTCTATGTACTTACATCCATCTCCATTGAAGGACTGTTGCATGTAAGAGAATTCATTTTTCTATCAACCCTTAACCGTTCTCTTACCATTAACTCATCGACAGCAGGCAACCTAGCATCTTTTAAACAGCCATTGCCATGGTATCAAGCAAACCTTACCTCACATCCAAAGCAACAAGTTAAGAACCCACAAGCCTCCACACAAGATACTTGTATTTTCTGGATCTTTCCCTTGGTCTATACTTCATTCTATGTTGACATTTCTCTTGCAACTTATAAACTCTGT